GGGATGGGAGTGGGTGCAGGGGAGGGGTGTGTGGAGGGATGGGAGTGAGTGGAGCACAGGAGTAGGTGCAGGGGAGGGGTGTGTGGAGGGTACAGGTAGAGAGAGGATTGTGAGGGAGTGTGGAAGGAAGGTGTGACTAGGCATTTGCAGTTAAGTCTGCTCTTTCCAAGGCCTAGGAGGGTTAAGAAACTCACAGAATGCTGAGACCTTGGTGACTTCCTGGTAGGATGGACTGCAGGGGGCACTGTGGCCTGCTAACACCCTGGAAATTGATGCTTGCAGGAAGCCGGATGTAGGTAGAGTTTAACCGCAAGCCCCTAACTCAAGACCAGAGGCTGGACAGAGCTGCTGAGTCTTGGTAGGTGCCCTCTGGGCCTGGAGCACCCCAGGAACCCCATGTCAAGCACACCCAGCCCAGAATCAGCGAACTGAGATTTTAATGGCCTTGAGAAGAAAAGAAAAACAAAAAACCAACTAACAAACTCCAGCTAGCTAACACCGAATGTATGGTGTCATGGAGTAATAGACCACTCATGTCTTGCACCCTGCTAACCTCGGTTGACAGGGCGTTCTGGGGAACTAGCCCTTGGCAGTGGCTGGTATGAAGGGTAATGTGTTAACTGTCAAGCCTGGAAATCAAGCCTGAGGCATTTAACTTAATGGTGAATGACTTTAGATGGAGAAAAATCTCTGGGCGAAGAGGATAAAGGATAAACGTGCCTGCTATCAAGGGAATTTTAAACTTGCAACTGAGCAACTTGGTGGATTCTGGTCCAGAGAGCCTGTGGCTGCTGAGCTGACTGGTCTGAACACGTGGGCTTGGACCAGCATGCCAGTAGCCTGCAGGTAACAAGACAGTTGTGAAGCAGAGACACACAGAGGTACCTACAAGCCTTCTACAGACTCTTGGGCCACATCTGGGGTTTTCAAGGTTCTCCTCCACACCCAGGCCCTACCCCTCTGTTGGCTGCATTGGGGCAGGGCAGTGGCCCAGAGGCAGTGTCCTGAAGACTCTGCCTCTTGTCCTCTGCCAGCTGTCTTTCTAGCTCCCTTCACCTCAGTCCACAAGAGACAGCACAGCCAGTGCCCCAGAAGAGACCTTTCATATGCTACACTAAGACTTCTATGGGAAAGCACATCTTGGCTCTGTAGCCCCTTGGAGACTCTGGATTTTTCAATTCGTGTTCTACAAGGATGCTAGACCTTGCCAGAATAACCTAAGATGGGCAGATCTGGGCAAAACCCCCCATCATGCTAGCCTCCTGGAAGAACTTCCCAGTCTGGTAAAACAAGAAGACAGGAGTCACCCACCTGTGGAGGTTCTCCTCATGTGGAAGCCACCTTCTGGGACAATTTGTCCCATGGAACAAGGTCACAGTGGCCAGTGCAAGCTCTTGCAGACAGAGACTTCCTCTTTTAAGGAAATAAAAGGACTAGGGACAGGACTTATTGCATGTGTAGTGTTTGCCTAGCATACATTAAGTGTACATGAGGCCGTGGACCCAATTCCCGGCCCCACATAAACCAGGTTTGATGATGTACTCTGGTAATCCTGGTACTTAGAAGGCAGAGGCAGGAAGACGAGAAGCTCCTAGATAGTTCTTAGTTACATAGTGAGATTCTGACTCGGGAAGGAATGGAGGGAGGGCAACAATTCTTTGGGGACAGTCTCCAGTGTTCTGAGCCCATGCAAACAGTACAAACAGTGAAGAAAAAAATCCTGTCTCAAAGTAGGCGGCTAGGACCCACATTCGTGATGACATTCATGCACTCACATGAATGTGCACACACTGAACCCCCTTGACTGTGGACGTGCTGTGACCGGCTACTTCAAGTTCCTGCCTTGACTCCCCTGGTATAATGGACTATGACCTGGAATTGTAAACTAAAAACACAAAGCAAACCAACCAACCAATCAAATTAACAAGTCGACCTTTTATCCTTTAAGTAGATTGCTGTCCAGCCTTGAGCGAGATCACTGCAGGGCAAGCTGCCACCCTATTAACTGCCCTGAATGGACAGCCAACGGCTTTTGTTTGTTTGAGACAGGGTCTCTACATATGATGGCCTTGAACGCACAGAGATCCACCTGCCTCTGCCTCCCAGGGCAGGGAATAAAGGTGTGCACCACTGTACTGGCTGGAAAGCCTCTAATCGAAGGAGATGCTCACCCCTTGGAATACATAGGGCAGCACCCAGAAAACGGTCGTGTGCAGCAAAGTGCCTCTCATTCACTGTCAGCCTGTGGGATCTCACAAGGCTTCAGAATATGTGCTCTAGGGCCACTTGCTGGACCCACAGATGTTTGGTGAGAGAGAAACCTTGCAGAAGCTTCTAGAGAAACAGCCAAGCATCCCCCCGCTTGGGGCCCACATCCACGGCAAACAGCAGTAATATTTACTGAGTATTTCTGGGGAAATGAGTGCAAAGCGCAGGCGATGCCGTGCAAATTGCCAGGACGCAGAACATCAGCAACATGGAACATTTAATGAGACTAGGAAGAGAGGTGTGGGTTTCAGGAAAATGTCACTTGCAGCAATGTAAACAGGCTTCTCATATCTCCCTGTGCTGGGGACTTGTTTCAGTCTCCAGGTTTAAGTAGAGCGGTGATTCTGGAGAGAGATTGGGTTTGCCAGAGACAGAAAAGGGGAGTCTCCTCCTGGAGGCTGGCAGGGGTTGCTGGTGGATTTTAATCCACTGAGACTAATGGGATGGAACCTCAATGCTATTGGATGGAAATGAAAACGCCGGGCCTGGAGTGCTTCCATGAGAAGCATTTGCCGTGGTCCCAATCCTGTGCCCCCTCCTCCAGATTTATATGCTGACTAAGGTATAAGGAGAGATACCACTCCATGTAATTCTGCTCTGACCTCACTTGCATCCCTTGGGAAAGAGACACAGGGCTGGAACAGTGTCAGCTGCTGAGGACGCTGGCTGCTCTTGCACAGGATCCAGGTTTGGTTCCTAGCACCCACTCTTGATCACAGCCATCTGTAATTCTAGACACCCTCTTCTGGCCTCTGAGGGTACCAGGCATGCATGTGGTTCACCAAAGACAATGCAGACAAAACATTCATACACACAAAATGAATTATAGGTAAATAGTAAATAAGAGATCCCTAGTAACACTCCACCAGGAGGTCACACCCATCATACTTGTGTCTGTCTGTCTTTCCTACAGAGAGAAGCCCAAAGGCATGCTCAGTGGTCTTTCTTCTGATCATCTCTTTTTGTTTTGATCTTCAGACTGAAGCCTTTGCTAACATACCTCTCAGCATCCCAAAGACTAGCCATTATTCAAGAACCAGCAGGGAGCCTATCAGCTAGAAAGGGCCCTTCCCAGACAGCAGTCTGTCCTAAGCTTTGCCTCTCGGCCTCCAGGTCTAAGAGCCAAATTCTCTTCCCTGCTGTGTTTCTCAGTTTAAGGGGGCTTGTTTTAGCTGCCATAACAGACCAAGATGGAGGATGGTATCTCGTTAAGGTCTGAAAGATGAACTCTTGTTGCTGGACCACAGAGGTTCCCAGTGGTTCCAAGGGGGCTCTGCCTAAAGCTACCTGTGCAGTATCCCGTGTGGCTCAGGATGATCAGAAAGCTACAGGATGATGTCTTATCTGTTTTCCTCTGCAGTTCCAGATAGTATCATCACCAAGGCTCTGGCAGAGCGTCTGGAGCAACAAGATTGCATCCAGAAAGGGTGGGTGCTGCATGGCTTCCCAAGAGATCTGGACCAGGCCCGGATGCTGAACTCTATGGGCTACAATCCCAACAGGTGAGCTCCCTGTGCAGAGCCCCAGCCCCTTTGCATGGAGGTGCAGGTGATGCCTGCCATTGTTTCTGGTGCACTGTAGCAGGCTGTGTCATCCCGTCTCGTGCTTCCCACCCCCTTTGCCCTGTGAACGATGACAGGCTAATAAGGTTCAAATCCTGCTTGGCTTGCTTCCTTGCTTCTAGGTTGTGGGTTTGAATTTTATTTAATATGTGTTCTGGCTCCATCCACATGCATGACCCGGCCTTTGTGAGTGCATCTGGTGTGGTTAAAGAATCAGTAAAATCTAACAAAAATTAAAAATTGGCTTAAAACTTAAAATGAAAAGCTTATAGTTAAAAACCTATACATAGGTAATTTCAGTTTGCTACTGATAAGTTATTTCTCCATAGATGAAATGAGCCAGTTCAAATCAGATTAGATTAGATTAGATTAGATTAGATTAGATTAGATTAGATTAGATTAGATGCAGGTTTATTGGGAAGCTGTTCACTGGTACCAAGGAGTGAGACCAGGAAAGTCACCGTAGAATGAGGGTGGGGGAGGGGGGAAAGAATGAGTTCAAGGGCTGTGAGAGTCACTATGGAAAGAGGGTGGGGAAGGGGAAGGGGGGGGACCCAAAAGGTCTGGATTATATGGGGAAGAGCCTCTGGGAGAAGGACAGCTACAAACATACTACATACGTGATTCAACTCTGGTTTAGAATATACTGTATATGTAACCTGGATTCAACTCTTGTTTAAAAAATAGATCTACTAGGAAAAAAGTTTTAAATGGCAACCATGTGACCTGCCTCCATCTCGTCTGATGACCTCATCAAGACGGAAGCAGCCACATGTCTGGCAGCCATTTTTACTAAGGTTAAAAGGTACATGCCATGTGACTTCACCATCTTAAGATGACATGGGGCATAAAGAAACAATTATAAAACTTGACAGTTACTTAGGTTATCATTGCATCTCTTTTTAGACTAAGGAAGCAACAACTAGTCTCCAGAATATTTTGGATTGGTATGGATTTTTATATGTTGATTAAAATGTAAGGTTATAAAGGTCTACTCAGATTAACAAAAGCTGACTTAGAGATTTACACTAACTGCTTATGTCTTTGCAAACTGTTCAATACCAGATGAATGAAAAAGAAATAAATATAAAGGGAAGACACCATTGTTCCTAGGTGTGGTGAAGGGGAAGTTTATTATATAGATGAAAGGGAGAGTACAGCCAAAGGCAGAGACATCTGGGACAGTCGGGGTAGTCATGACCCTGAGCCAGGCTGTGTGAGGAAAGGGGGAAGGGAAGGAGAAGGAGAAGGGGGAGGGGCCAGAGAGGATCCAGGTCCAGCAGCCAGGAGGCCCAAAAGAGTAGACCAAAGGCCCAGGTAACAAAAGTTATTGGGTTATATATGGAAGGCCAGCTGGCGGAACAGCTGCCCAAACCCTGGGCTGGAGAAGTTTAGGCTAAGGGGGTGGGGTTTGCCAGCCACACTCTGTAACAGGTAGGGACTGAGGGATGCTGGGAAAACCTTGTGCCAGGTCCACTTTGATAAGTAGCCACCTCAGCCATTCAGGGTTTGAGATTTAGCAGTGCTTGGTGTTCTTAGGTCTACCTCTGTGCTTTCTGATTCCCATGTCTGTTTCCCAACACTACCACACCACTGAGCCGTGTGTGCGTCACACGTGCACGTTGCTGGTTCATTTCTACTTTTATGGGTTCTGGGGAGCACATTCAGGTTGCCAGGCTTACTCTATCTTGCCAGCCCTAGCCACTTTAGTTTTGTGACATATTTCAACACCATGTAGCACATGGCCCTCTGTTACTGCTCTGCTCTGTATTTACAAAGGGGCATGGATTTGTTTTACATGGACAGAGGGCTGGCTGCCATGGGAATTGCCTTAGCTGATCAGCTGCTCTACAGACCCTAGCCTGCTGGAGACAGGGCCAGCGCTCTCCTGGGGCATACACTTTGAATTCTGAGCCCATTTCTAGATGTGATGTATATGTAACTTGGATTCAACTCTTGTTTAAAAAATAGATCTAAGCCGGGCAGTGGTGGCGCATGCCTTTAATGCCAGCACTTGGGAGGCAGAGGCAGGCAGATTTCTGAGTTCAAGGCCAGCCTGGTCTACAGAGTGAGTTCCAGGACAGCCAGGGCTACACAGAGAAACCCTGTCTCGAAAAAACCAAATAAATAAATAAATAAATAAATAAATAGATCTACTAGGAAAAACGTTTTAAATAGTTCTTGTTGCTTTTTGTTTTAAGAGAATAGAGAAGACATTGTTGTTTGCGTTTTGATTTCTTCTCTAGCTGCCTTTTAGAACTTTCTGTCTAAGTGTTTGCACCTGTGGCTCTCGAGGTTTCCAGGTGGAGGTGATGGACCTTCACCTCTCTTCCTTTTCAGTCTTAGTGTCCCCTGTGGGGCAGGTGGAGCCGTGCCACCAGACAGAACTAGTATGGTGGAGGAGATTTTAAAAACCCTGGTAAATTTCATAACTGAGAACAGTAGGCGTGTAAATAAGCTCCCGACGGTTGTGGAAAATATTAAACATGATCGGCAAGTTCTTGAGCTGCGCCCGACACCGGCGGGCCACATGGCTCCAGTGGGGTGTTCTCGTCTCGGCAGACTCTCTGGCCTGGAGCTCCCAAGATGTCTCCACCCAACTCTCTAAGTTTCCTTGGTGGGTGGTTGCCACGCCAGCCCCATGCAATGACCACCCACCTTGCAGTTAGTTGTCACATTTCCCAGCAACCAGGTAAAACAACTCTAGAAGCTTATAATTAATCAATCAGATTTATACATCAAAAAATTCCCAATACACAAGATACCCACACAATAAATTCAGGGCCAGTTGATAATGGTACAAGCTGCCCACCTAGATTAGACAAGTTACCCCAATTATTCTGTCCCTATATGATATATCTACCTGTGGCTATTTAAAGCCATGCAGAATCTGAATCATCCTGTTTGTCCTCCATCTTGCTTCCTTCTCCTCTTCTGTGTCACTCCCTGTCTCTGCAACTCTTAGCTCCACCTCCCTCTTCCCTGGCCAATCGAAGGCTTCTTGTTGTATTAATAATTAAATTAGTTGGACAGGGGAAATCCTGCTACACCCGACCAGATTCCTGTCCTAGAGCATGTGACCACAACACCCCACTAAGAGGACCATGACAACTGGTCACATAGCACAAAGCCCAGAGTTCTCTATGCCAATGAGGTATCTAGATGGCCCGCCCGAGGGTTTAGCCAGCAAGCTCTCTTAGTGGGCATTCCTTCCTGCAAAAGGTATTCCATCTCTAGTCCACTCTGAGTAAGTTGTGTGCATCCTCATCTGCCATGAATAAGCAGCAGGATTGTCTCCTTCATCAAGGACTGCCACAGGGGGAGGCCCCCATCATACAGAGCCACACCTAAGTATCCTCTCCCACCTCCTGCCTCATTTGTCCTTGCATCCACAGCCCCCTTCTCACTGTCCTGTCATGTGCGTTCCCACATCCACACGCACGTGAGCATGGACTCGGAATCCGGGTGAGAACGTGGATTTATCCCTCTGAGTCTGCACCACTCACTACATGAGTTCATCCATTTCCTGAGAACCTCATAATCTTGTTTCCTTCTATTGGCTGTGCCTGTGTTCTACATTCTTACTACACACTGCTCAGCTGATAGACATCTGTCTGGATTCATTGCCATGTGAATTCAGCAAGACAGACATGGATGTCCATGCGTCTCTGCGGTTGGATACAGAATGCTGTGGGTATGTGCCTAGCAGTGGTATATCTGGGTCCCGTGGGAGATGTATTTGCGATTTTCTGAAAACCTCTGTACTGATTTTCATAATGGCTTCAGTATACTACAGGCCCTCCAAGGACTGAACTACTGTTCCTTTCTTCCTACATGGAATTAAAATTTTCTACACAGGCTGGGCATGGTGGTATACATCTTTATACCCTGCACACAGGAGGCAGAAACAGTTGCATATCTGCAAGTTTGAGGCTAACCTGGTCTATATAGTGAGTTCCAGGCCCAGGCCAACTAAGGCAACATAGTGAGACCATGTCTCAAAAAATAAAAAGATAGTTTCTGCACAGCAAAGCTAACAGACAATGACAGAATAGGAAAAAAAAATGTCTGCTGTACTTTAGACAGGACTTTACACACACACACACACACACACACACACACACAGAGAGAGAGAGAGAGAGAGAGAGAGAGAGAGAGAGAGAGAGAGAGAGGGACACTACATTACATTTAAAAATTAAATTAAGGAAAGAGCAGGGTTATCCGTACTACACAGATGAGTCCAAAATTATTCAATGAGCCCTCAAAGCCATGAAAATAGACGTCACAGAGAGGTAGGACAAGGGAAGGATCAGGCATATCACTGCTGGCTAGAAGACAGGGACCCTGACAGTTCTAAAAGGAAATTAATTAATTCTACAGCCATCAGTGAGCACCAGGGGAGAGCCACCACCCCAGGCCCATATAGACCCTGACCTACAGGAGCTACCTCAGTACTTGCAAGCAATCAAGGCTGCTAGGGTAGCAACAGGAAGTGACACACTTCTGGGCACGTGCGAAGTCCGTGAGGCTGCTTCTCTCCTTCAGCCATGAAGGAGTCTCAGGGATCCGACTCAGCCATTAGGCCAGCACCTTTATCTGATCCATCTCACTATCCCTCTAACATGTCATTAAGTCTACAGTCTAGGCAGGCTGTGTTCAGGTCTGTACCTTCACCTCGTTCACCGATGTCCGTCCTTGTTTATGGTTAGCCCCCTAAGGACCAAGTGATTGCCAACTGCTCCTTAATATTGCGTTTCATTCCCTGTTTGTTTGCTTTTAGGGTTGGGGTCAATCCCGTTCCCCCCAGTCTCTAAGCCACCTCCTCAGCCCTGTTATTTAAGAAAGGGTCACTAACCCTGGTTGGCCTCAAACTCATTTTCTCCCAGGGTTCAGACGCACACGGCCAGAGCTGACAGCACAGCCTTTCTGCTGGCTTTTAT